AGGACTACGACCTCCCGCCACACGAACAGTTTCTTCCCGTCGGCAGTCGGGCTCATCAACAGAGCCCGGTCCCCCACTGCCTGACTATAACACTCCACCGGTCACTCCCCCTCACACTGCACATGCCACTTTAACTGCAATTCATCACTTTGTCACTTGTCACTTTGTCTCTTGTCTGTTACTTGTTTGTTAGTGCACTTTATGCTTAATACTTTTCTTTTTAACTTTTTAATATTTAAAATTTGTTTAACTTTATTCCCTTGTTTTTTTTACTAACCCATAGCCTTAGCCTTATTCTTACTAACCCATTGCATTAGCATTTCATTCCACTTTATTTTATTACCTGTGCACTGTTGTCTTGTCTGTCTACTGTCGCGCACTAACCGCCAAGACAAATTCCTTGTATGTTTGACATATTTTGGCCAATAAATGTTTCCTGATTCCTGATTCCTGATTCCTGATAGCCTACCACATAATCTGGCAACTTTCTTCTCCGGTGTAATAGCGTTGTGGCGTCGAGTTGGTGAAGTAATTGCATCTCTAAAGAGATCCACCACAAACATGATTCCTGCACGATCTAATCTGTAGCGTCTCAATAATTCCCTGTCATCCAGTGTTTGCAGGACATCTCTCCTGCCTCCTCTGTTGGCCATTTTGTGCAGCTGCTTAGGGGAACTCCTAAGCCACTAAAAGTCCTCTTCCCTGCTCCTAGCAGATCTCGCCGTAGGAGCCCTTTTAAGTACTAGGAATCTTGAGGAATAGCTTTTATATTAATTGGGATTTTCATGTCACTTTTAGGGGAAATTCTAAGAAAACGTAATGACTCTGAGAATTTTCTTAGAATTTGGCCGCTAGGAGCCACTTTTTGCACAAAAATTCTTTAGGGATACGGGCCCAGATCTCTAATCTTCCTTTCCTCTCTAAGATCCTTGAGAAATCCGTTGCATATCAATTATGTGACTTTCTACGAAACAATGCTTTGTTCGAGGATTTCCAGTCAGGATTTCAAGTGCATCACGGCACAGAAACAGCACTGGTGAAAATTACGAATGATCTGCTACTTTCATCGGATCAAGGACTCATCTCCTTTTATACCATTACCATCGTATCATGTTGCAGAGACTAGAACGTTTGATTGGTATCAAAGGAACTGCACTCAGCTGGTTTAAATCCTATTTATCGGAACGATGCCAGTTTGTGCTTGTAAACGGCAGGGGTGGAAGTAACAAATTACAAATACTTGCAGTTCTGTTTTAGAATAAAGGGTTGGAAATTAAAGCTTTTTAATGCTGTTTTTTACTTTAATTTAAAGAAATAATCGACCAATTAATCGATTATCAAAATAATTGTTAGTTGCAGCCCTACTGTTGAGTATGTAATATTTGAACTGTCAGATTGCTTTTTTTCAATGCAAATCCTTATTGGCTGTCAGATCGTGCCCGCGCCAATTATTCTAAGACATAATATAAGCAAAGGACAAGTCGCTGGTGCAGCAGGCAAATGTTTCTGGAGGTTAAATACACAGCGGTGTAAAGAGTGGACTGAGAATTTGAGAAAGAAATGGAAGGAGAAGAACGTTAAAAAAAAGAATGATGGCCAAAGCTATAATTACGGCCGGGTGTTTAAAAAAGACATAAAGGACATTAACTTTCTTCTCCGTCGTTACTATGGTAGATCTCCCATAGTCCATCCACTATCCCACAGGTCAAAACCCCCTAGCGGCCTGGCAAACTTCCGTTGTGTTTTGAGTGAACTTGCAGCGTTTCTCTCTTGTATGTCTTTAGAAGTTTGCGTCGCGTGTGCTCCGGTCATTTTAGTGATTGCCGCATTTTTCTCTTGCAGCGTTTTACTGTTGCATTTGTTTTGCAGTTTGCATCGCCTTTGCACGTATCTGCCACCGTAAAATTGCCTGTAATTCTTCTATCGTTCGTCTAAGAAATGTGCTTTGAATTTAAATTTTATACATCTAATGTCTGCGATTGACGATGCAATAAAACATCCATCGGTTAAAAAGTAATTTGTAGTAGTTTTTGAGAAGAGCACTTTGTACTTTTACTTAAATATGTTTTAACACTAGTACTTACTTGTAATTGAGTAAAAATCAAGCAATGTAACAGTACTTGTACTTGAGTACAAATTTCCAGTACTCTTTCCACCTCTGGTAAACGGTGAATTCTCGAAGGCCACCAATGTTGGGCACGGAGTCCCACAAGGTTCTGTACTTGGACCAATTTATTTACCTCTATATGCTTCCTTTGGGCCATCTTATCAGGAAACACCGCATAAACTTCCATTGTTATGTAGACGATACTCAACTGTATTTGTCGACCAAACCAGAAGAGACCGACCAGCTTGTCTTGGAGACATTAGAACTTGGATGACCGGCAACTTCCTGATGCTAAACTCAGAAAAAACAGAAGTTATCTTGATAGGCCCAGAGCGCCTTCGAAGTCAGCTGTCACGTGATACACTTTTTATCGATATCTACTTAATATATCGAAAATCAGGAACTTTCTGTCTGTGATGCAGATAAATTAGTTCTTGCGTTTGTTACTTCTTGACTGGATTACTGTAATTCTTTGTTATCAGGCTGCTATTGTAAATCTCTTAAACCGCTCCAGTTGATTCAGAATGCTGCAGCATGTGTATTAACAAGAACTAAGAAAAGGGATCATATTACTCCAGTATTAACTTCGCTGTAGTGGCTCCCTGTTAAATCAAGAATAGAATTTAAGGTACATCTCCTCACCTACAAGGCATTTGCTTGTGAAGCACCGCCGTATCTTAAAGAGCTTGTAACACCTTATTGCCCTACAAGGCAACTGCGCTCCATAGATGCTGGGTTACTTGCTGTTCCTAGGGTTTTAAAAAGTAGGATGGGATGGCCAGATCCTTCAGTTATCAAGCTCCTCTTTTGTGGAACCAGCTTCCACTTTCAGTCCGGGGGGGCAGATTCGGTCAGCTCTTCTAAAGTAAAACTTAAAACTTTCCTTATTGATTCTGCTTGTAGTTAGGGCTGGCTCAGGTTAGACCAGACCAGCCCTTAGTTAAGCTGCTATAGGCTTAGCCTGCCAGGGGACTTCTTAGGACACACCAAGCTCCTCTCTCACACTCTCTTTCTACAATAATCCACGTTTTATTAATGTACATGACTTATTCCGCTTCTTTCCGGGAGTTTTTTGTGCTTTCTCCCCTAGCAGGTCTCCGTAGTTCGTAGTTCCTTCTGGACCCTGGTCCTGAAACCTGCTGCTGCTGCCATCATCATTATTATTTTAAATACTAAATCATATTACTGTCATTATAAACCAACATTACCCTCTCCTAAAGACTTTGTGCTTTCCCTCCCCCAGGTGGATGGTGGTTCTATCTCATGGTGGTGGTCGTCCCTGCAGTGGTCCTGCCATGGGCCTGGCTTGCTACTCGCAATAATTTGAATCATTTCTGTCATAGGAATTAAATGTATTATACATCTTTTGTATTTTTCATTCTGTACACATGACATCCATTGTAATCTGTCCATCCAGGGAGTGGGATCCGTCCTCTGACGTTCTCCCTAAGGTTTCTTCCCTTTTTTCCCCATGGAAGGGTTGGAAGAGTTTTTCCTTTGCCGATGTGTGGGTTTCGGGACAGAGGATGTCGCATGTGTACAGACTGTAAAGCCTTCTGACCGATACAAGAGTACAACAAATAGTTTAGATATCAAACACAGCCAGCCAGTCCACACATCCGCAGACATTGAATAGTGAGGATTCTCACTACAGTGCTATAAGGGTGATGTACACCGACACACTTCAACGCCTTCACTAACAAATGGGATGTATAACTTGCCCCTTTTTAGTGAATGATTCGACTCAAGATACAGAGCTACATTACCTCACTATGGTTGATCAGGGTACAAAATGAGAGAAAAAAAATCTCTTTTTTCCACGCAAGGCAGTCCCATACTGACACAAATGTGGCCATTCACTTTCTGGAGAGGTAAATACACTAAATTAATCCCTCTCAGACACAATTTATGTGAGAGCCAGAAAATAGGATTTATTAGGAAAAGCCTGAATTAGATGAACTGAAACGAACGTTGTTCGTACTTCATAGATTCATTCATTTAGAAGACGGTAACTGCTGGGAGAAAAAGCTCAGCCGCGCCTCTAGAAGCGAGTCTCCGCTGCTCATTGGTGGAAAATGATTTCAAACTGTCTGCCAAATATGAGAGGTCCCGCCCTCTGCTCTCGCGCCTGGAGCCTCTTCTCTGGTTGGTGCGCGCGTCAGGAACCGTCCCGCCCGCTCCGGGGACATATAAAACAGGGTTTGACGCGTTCACAGACACTTCCTTCCCTGAAACAGTATAACAATGAGCGGCAGAGGTAAAACCGGTGGAAAGGCTCGAGCGAAGGCAAAGACCCGCTCCTCTCGTGCTGGACTCCAGTTCCCAGTCGGTCGCGTCCACAGGCATCTGCGCAAAGGGAACTATGCGCAGCGTGTCGGCGCAGGAGCCCCCGTCTACCTGGCGGCCGTGCTGGAGTACTTGACCGCTGAGATCCTGGAGCTGGCTGGAAACGCCGCCCGCGACAACAAGAAGACCCGCATCATCCCCCGTCACCTGCAGCTGGCTGTCCGCAACGACGAGGAGCTCAACAAGCTGCTGGGCGGAGTGACCATCGCTCAGGGCGGCGTGCTGCCCAACATCCAGGCGGTGCTGCTGCCCAAGAAGACCGAGAAGCCCGCCAAGAAGTAAAGCCGGAGACCTCCATCCACCACAAAGGCTCTTTTAAGAGCCACCCACCCACACGAAAAGAGCTGTGATCCTCATATCTTCATAGGTTTTTTTTTGTTTTTTTCTCATTCCCACATTAGGTCATTTGTGCCACAACAACCATCCACTAATAATTCCATCTCCAGTAAGAAAACATTTGTCTATTATGTAGTCTTACTTCTTACGGTCATCCTAATAAAGTCACACAACTCTAGCTTTACCGCTCAACCTGTTAATGTATCACGTAGAAAGGACACTACTGCAGCTGAAGCATAAAACAGTTTTAAATCCGACACTTGAGGATGTAGATGGATTCACTTTTAGAGAAAGGTAACAGGAAGACTTACAGGCAAGATTACAGAATGCAAAATAAGGATTTGACATTTTAAAGCGCCACAACTCATATTAAATATTCCTTTAGATGTATTTGTATTACATGTATTTGTCTCTATTCTGAATGAAAAAAAGGTGTGTGTCACGTCTCTACACGTCAGGAATTGAAGTGTTTGTGTATGTAATTATCAACAGGGTGCCCTGTGATTGTGAATGGTTTGTGTGACGGTCATTAGATGATTTCAGTGCATGCGATGATTTATACAACATGATTCTCGACAAATAAACAATCTTGTGTTAAGTCAAGAGCACTTAAGTTATTCAATCTCAACAGGGAAATCCGCATAGTTGCGATGTTTGTGACGCATGCGCAGTATCACACAGAAGGCAACCAATCACGCTCGAGCAACAGCACAGTGTACTTTGCATCTAGTTCATATATGAACACCGTGCTGTTGAAATTGCGACATTCTCAGTTTACAGAGAAGTCTCGAATCATGCCTGAAGTTGTGAAAGCGCCCAAGAAGGGCTCCAAGAAAGCCGTCTCCAAGGCCGTCAGCAAGAGCGGCAAGAAGAAGAGGAAGACCAGGAAGGAGAGCTACGCCATCTACGTGTACAAGGTGATGAAGCAGGTCCACCCCGACACCGGCATCTCCTCCAAGGCCATGGGCATCATGAACTCGTTCGTGAGCGACATCTTTGAGCGCATCGCCGGTGAGGCCTCTCGCCTGGCTCACTACAACAAGCGCTCCACCATCACCTCCAGGGAGATCCAGACCGCTGTGCGCCTGCTGCTGCCCGGCGAGCTGGCCAAGCACGCCGTGTCTGAGGGAACCAAGGCCGTGACCAAGTACACCAGCTCCAAGTAAACCTGATGTAGACCACCAACACAAAGGCTCTTTTAAGAGCCACCCACTTCTTCTAAAGACCATTTCCTGATGATTGTGTTTCAAAACGTTTGTATATCCCTTTGTATCTATTGATTTACAAAGGAATACATGTTTTCTATGTATTTAACTTTATTCAGTGTTACGGCGGAAGCCAGACTTTCACCAACATCTGCGGTTTCATTTAAACTTAACAAGAGGAAAAATGGGCTTTTCAGCTTGAAGCATTGCCCAGTGAGCACAAGACTTAACTTTAACGTTGACATATGGTTGAAATGAAAGACCTCATTCCAACGTCTTTTCAACCCGCTAAAAATTGGATGAAACCTCAACGTGCCAGAAAACGTCAAATTTGTTGATAAATGTGTCATGTTGTAACGTAAGGTTAAAAGAGACTATATTAGATTTTTATAATATATATTGAACTGGTCGGCGAAATTTGGTCTACAAGAAGACTTATTTTTAACCTATTTAATATTTCACTTAAAACGTCATAAATATTAAACTACGGACTCACGTGTCGACGCCTGCAGAGCTTCGACCGGGTGCAGTGTTTGGTGTTGGTAATGTGTTAGGTTGCTACTGTACCTATACATGTTATTGTCTTTCCCATTTCATATTGAAAATACCTTTTTAAAGCAATGGGGGCTAAATACAGATTGCAAGGGAGCTGAATTCAACAAGTTGTGGTCTGTAAACGAGGGCCAAAACATTGTAAGTTACTGTGTGCTTAAAGCATGTTACTGTGTGATATACCTGGAAATGTTACTCCAGAAATGCCATAAGTTGCAGATGAATTGTTATCTTGTTTATAATGTAATAAGTAAACAGTCTATAAATTAGGGTTCTAACACACCTGCTGCTGTCATTATTAGTTTATTACTGTCATCATAAACCCAAAAGATCATCTTTGCCCTTTCCTTGAAGTCTTTGTGCTTTCCCTCCTCACAGGTTTCTGTGGGTGGTGGTTGCATCTGATGGAGGTTGCATCTGATGACGGCTGTGCCTGCAGTGGTCCTGCCTTACCCCTGGCCTACTACTCTCAATATTAGAATCATTTCTGTCGTAGGAATTGGATGCACTGTAAGTTGTTCATACTCTGCACACCTACTTCTCTGCTGCTTTCCCCTCAGGTTTCTCCCGGGGGAAGGTTTTTTACATTTTGGGGGTTTTGGGACAGGATGTTGCATGTTTAGAAGTGTTTTGGCCTCAGTCAGCGTGGTTACATGGATTAGATTAACTGGCTTAGTCAGACTGAAATCGAATCATACCATCATGTAAAAACACTAAGTGAGGGAGGGACAAGTAGTTTGGCAGATGCAGAGCGGAGGTTGGGATGTAGGGTTTGACCATGTACTGGATGTAGACTGGACGTGATCCATTCACAGCACGGTTTTGAAGTGGATGCGGGCAGCCACCGGTAGCCAGTGAAGAGAGCGGAGGAGAGGAGTAGTGTGGTAGAATTTCGGAGGGTTAAAGACCAGTCAAGCTACTGCATTCTGGATTCTGGAGCTGCAGAGGTTGAATGGCGGCAGCAGGGAGACCTGCCAGGAGAAGTTGCAGTAGTCCAGGCGTGAGGTGACAAGAGCCTGAATCAGTACCTGCGCTGCCTTCTGGGTGAGAAGAGGACGTATTCTCCTGATGTTGTAGAGAGTATCTACAGGATCGTGTTGTTGCTGTAATATTGGGAGTCAGGAAGAGTTGGCTCTAGAATCCATTCTAGAATGGATTTTTTTTCAGAAATGAAACGCAAGCATTAAAAATGTGCCAATCAACACAGTCTCACACAAAGCTCTGAGCATTATTCATTAACAGAACTATGCATTGGAATCTGCATTAATGTTGATGTCCTATTTTCATCATTACGGTAATCAGCTCCTCACAGAGAGTGCGTGGCCCTTAAAAGGACCGTTTGGTTGTTTATAACAGAAGTTGGTGTTTAACCTCCGAAGCCGTACAGGGTGCGTCCCTGTCTCTTCAGGGCATAGACCACATCCATGGCGGTCACCGTCTTCCTCTTGGCGTGCTCGGTGTAGGTGACGGCATCGCGGATCACGTTCTCCAGGAAGACCTTCAGCACACCGCGGGTCTCCTCGTAGATCAGACCGGAGATGCGCTTCACTCCGCCGCGGCGAGCCAGACGGCGGATAGCGGGCTTGGTGATTCCCTGGATGTTATCACGGAGGACTTTACGGTGACGCTTGGCGCCTCCTTTGCCGAGTCCTTTTCCTCCCTTTCCTCTTCCGCTCATGTTGTCAGATAAATTTGAAACTAAATAGGCAAGTAGGCTCAGTTCACAGATATTTAAACCCAGTCGGAGGACGTGATAGGAGACAGAGGCGGGGCTTGATCTTATTGCCATAGCGCCCCCTGCTGAACTAGACCATTAATAATCAACCTTCGTCACCTCTGTCATTGTGCCTCAGATACCTAAACATTGTCTCCGTTTATCTTGTTATAGATCATGAAGTGGGACATCTTTGACATAGTATGGTTTTGCTTCATTTTTTGGTCTCGGCTTCCTTGACCGTCAAGGATGCAATCTGAGGGAGGATGAGACAACCATCTGATGGATATACTGTGTTACACAGTAGTGAAAATGGGGGTGGAGGCTCAGGATAGTTAAACTGTGTCTTCCGCCATCTAGCTGCAAGCAAAACCAAAGCAGACATTCTGTAGGGGCCATTATGTGTTGTTGTTGGCAAAGTATATTTTGTTTGTTAGACTGTATTTGTATTGACACTTTGGACACTAGGTGGTGGTGATTAGGTGCACATGGGTGTACATAAGGGACGTAGGTGACAGGAAGCGAGGGACAGGTAGGGGAGCACTAGACAGTTCTCACCAGACAACGAAGACAGACCACCATCAATAGGAGCACGTTCAACCGGTATGTTCATCTGTTTATACAATTGCCTGCAATAAACTACAAACCTCAACCACAATCATCGCTGGAAAATCTTTTGTGTGTCTGCATCGAAACATCACTCCCACCTGTGCCTGATGGCAAAGAACAACAACGAGACAGCTAAAGGGGCAGCAAACCTAAGATTGCAATTAGCCAATCTGGTAGAGGGCCGCACAAAAGTAATGAATAACTTTTACGTTTTTCATGTCACTGCTTTTTCATTTTAACACATTTTAAGGCGCTTGTCTAACGGAAATGAGCAAAAAATCCGACAGCGGGGAGAGTTTACTTTAAATGTAACGTTAAGTTATAGAATTCACTACCGATAGAAATGTTATACTATAAAATATGAGATGACATCGTAGTTTGACCGATGTCGTGTTATTTCAAATTCACATAAGACTTTAAACTTAAACTGCTCTTAGTGATAACACTAAGTCCCCCCATACAGCCCCTGAGCCAGACTCTCACCTGAATCCCCCCTGAGTCCATGTACTGTTTTTATAAACATCAATGTACCAACACACATTTATAACAAAGACAAAACGAGCAGCTCACGTTCCCTGGAGCCGCTGCGCCATTAACGGCAGCTCGTCTGTAGTTATCAGTCAAAAGTCACTTCATGACTCAACTTTCATACTCTAGAGGCTGACTAACATCCTACTGAGGCTGAGACGGTTTTATATGTAGTTTATACTTTATATTATGTAATATAATTATTATTATATTATGGATCAAAGTGAACTCAAGTAGTCAAAGCTGAAATATCACTTTCTAAGTAAGAACGTTACAGAATAAATACACAAAGAAACTTAACTCACTTTGCTCCTTTTGTTTTGTTGTGTGATTATAAACTTTACATTTAGTTGTGTTATGGACCAGGAGGAAGCAGCATCAAGCTGAAGGAGAACGATGTGTGTGGTGACATTCAGCTGCTGTAACTTGGACATATTCCGAAATATCTTAAGGTTAAAATAGCTTGTATCCTGTTCAATAGAAAAATAAGAAGTCCTTGCATACAACTTAATACATGTGTTGGTCAATTGGTTTTTAGTAACAACATTGATGGAATCTCCTCTGCCTTAATATTGTTTATATTACTTTTAGCTGAAAGTAATTTTATATAAAAAGTATTATACATTACCATTACATTAACCGGAAAATGTTTGGAAAATTATCTCAGCGTGAAATATATCATACTCCGGAGGAGAAGCGTATCTTCCTAAATTAAATTAAATACGAAGAAAATGACCTTACTTATCGGTACTTCATACATTTTTCGGCTTTTAGGGCGTTTGTTTTTAAGCCCAGCAGGTTGCTTGGCAACGGGCAGGAAGTCCCCCGCAGGCCAGACCGCCCCACTTCAGAGACCGCTCGGTTCAGCCTACGCGGTTGCTGACCAGGTCTGCGAAGGCTGCTGAAGGATGCAGCCCAGCGACTTTGAGACACATCGACAGTCTAACATGAATACGGTGCGTAAGGCAAACATGGTTAGGGACCCAAAGGTCGCATTTTCACCATAAAAAAAGCTACAACCCCCTGCAGGAATCGAGTTAAGGTATAAATTAAACCGGTATAGGTAAAAGTAACAAACAACTAAACAATGCTTTTTTTCTTTGAGTATTATATTCTGATTGAAAGAGATAATACCCCCCCCCCCCCTCTATAAAAGTATTTTACTAATGGCAACCAGATGAAACAAGTATCTGTTTCTGTCTCAGTAGTATGTTCAGATGTATACTCTGGGATTTTTCCGGTTTTCTCTTATTTAATAACGCATTCTGTTATTTAAACGTTTTCAGCAAACGCCTTTGTAAACCAGTTAATCATATTTTTCACTTTGCAGCATTGTGCACCACAACATGTTTGCCTTTGCTGTCAGAGCTGCAAATATTTCAAATCCCTTCAATATCTATATAATATCCCTTCAATGTCTATTATATTGTGTGGAAGTTAGACCACACCCAATGTGCATGAATGGCCTGTTTCCCTGCTGGCTAATACACCACCTTCAGAGGGAGTTAACTGCGCAGACAAGATCGTTGCGTAACCACATGAAACAACAGCAGCCCGCAGTGTCGCGTCCTGTGCGCGGTGGTTTCGTTCATGACGGGAGTTTAATAGTGATTCCGATCCACGCTTTAAAAAGCAGCGATATGAAGGTAAGACTTGTTCTTATTTTCAGGTTCACAAGAAAACACTTGGGAGGATGAAGACTAAGTGGTTGGTTCGGTACCAACTTCTTCACTCGGGTCGCCTGCATGTTCTGCAGGACGCGTCACTCATCGGCCCGAGCAGCCGCTGCGCTTCGGCTCCTTTTCATCATATTGAACCCAACGTAAATAAAATAAATACAATCACGTCATTTGGGGTGAGTGACGTATGACGCTGGTGTTATTCTGTGAATTCCACAACAAGTAAAGTATTCAAAGTAATCTCAACGCAGGAAAAAACGAGAAAAGATGTCGAACGCTATTATAAATGATTGAATGTTTTTTATTCATTTTGAGTTTCGGACTGCATGTTAAAAGATTAGCTATAGAAATAATTAATACAACAAAAATAAAATGAGTAGTTTTTGAGAACCTGTAGAAGTGTAAAATGTTTGGGATATTGGTCATTAATTATAAAGATAAATATCGTTGACGCTCTTCGTATGTTCAAATGTATGGAACAATCTGACGAATAATTGAAGAGGTTTAAGAATCTATATTTCTTTCTGCAATGTAGTCAAGTAGAAGGTGGTAAAAGAAAATGCCTCTGATTTTTAACTACAGTATCTGAAAAAAAAAAACATTTCTCTACATCGTATTGTGTAACTGGTTTGCTGTATTCACCTCTATTAACAAGCCATGACAATAATTGTGTCAAACTATGGAAAACGTTTAGCACTATATAAACTGATATTTTGGTGGACAATTGCCTGTCAAAGTGTAACCTGTTTCTGTTTGATTTTCCCACTCACCCACAGGTGAGCAAAATATAACTACAGGAGTCAGCATTCAGAACCGAGAAACACTCGCAGAAAGCCAGTAAACTCTTCAGTTCAGTCCCTTCCACCATGTTTGCGTCAATAATCCTGCTGTTAATCTGCGTCGTCTTCATCGTCGTTCAACTCAAATCCCGAAGGCCCAAGAACTTTCCACCAGGACCCCCAGTCTGGCCGATACTGGGGAACATTTTGGACCTGAGCCTGGAGAACCCCCTGAAGGACTTTGAGAGGGTAAGACAGCTGAAACGGACGATGTGGCTCTTCCAATACATTCTCTTGTAATTGTATGAATGTAATCACTATCACAAAATGTGTTGAGAACATTTCAACACTTAAACGTTTGGCAAAATGTGAAAAATAAAAACGTGACAAGTCTTTAAGTCTCGAGTCATTAAGCTTCTATTTTACTCGCAATAGGTGATTACGGACGTTTTCCCTGTACAGAGTTGACAGTCTGTGTTCTTAACTACTGGACTATGGCCAACCAGTAGCTGAGGTCACGCATACTTATTAGGTGTTGTCTAACTTGCACACAAAGTAGTACTTGCAAGGCCCAAGGTCAGGTGCTTGATGTAATGTGCTGTTAGTTGTTTTAATTTTTCTCCTAATGTTTTCATTATGTGATGATTCTCATGAATTACATTATTTCATCTTAATTTGTTGATGAGTTTGTTTAAGCTCGTCCAATATTTTCAACGCTGCTAACCTAATTTCCCAGGTTAGAGGATAAAGATCTAACTATATCAGAAAACATGTTGTTTTGATTATATTGAATTGTTGGAATGTAAATAAGCATCTAAAGTTAAATTATTTAAAACACTACAATGTCATCTTCTTTTCTCCCAGTTGAAGAAGACCTATGGAAATGTCTATAGTTTATTTCTCGGTCCCAAACCAGTAGTAGTCATGAATGGGATGAAGACCATAAAGGAGGCTTTGGTGACCAAGGGTGTCGATTTCGCTGGAAGACCCCAAGACCTGTTTGTCAATGACAGCACCCAGAGAAAAGGTAGGACACACATGATGTTTCAATGAGCAGCTAATGAATGTATCGTCCATCATAGCTTATTTAAAAAGAGCAACACAACATTCCAATGTTCACTTATCTTTGTCCATATAGAGATGGGACAGTCAGTGTGAGTATATATGTAGTGGCCATTTGTCCTACAAATCTTTAAAACAAATGGTCACTGGCTGCACCTACTGCTTTGTTTTTGTCAGGCAGCAATAAAGTGGATTGTCAAGGCAATCGATTCCTTTTGTTCACATTTATTTGCAGAGTCCGGCGAACACATACAATAAAACTTGGCTACCTTCCTATGCAGTGCTCTGGCTCGCTATCTCGCTGGTAAAAAAAAATATTAGTCACCCAGGTGCATGCTGGTCCTACCTGGCTATGCCCTTAAGTAACCTGCGGGTGCCCACAGTATTACCTAATTACTGCTCCACTTAACCCAACTAACTATATTTTAGAATAAATAACTGGATTATAGCTCCCACAATATATGTTATTAAAACAAACGGTAAATGGACTGTACGGCGCGTTTCTAGTCTTCCGACAACTCAAAGCGCTTTAACACTACATGACATCATTCACCCGTTCCGACTACAACTACACACTGTAGTCACAGCTACAGGAGCAATGTTGGGTTAAGTGTCTTGCCAAAGACACATCGACATGCGGGGTTAGCAGAGCCTGGGATCGAACCACCAACCCTCTGATTGGAGGACGACCGTGCTCCCCACTCACCCACTGTTGACAAGGGTCAATGTTCAGTTTTTTTATTGCAATTATCACAAAGTACGTTGAAATGTGTGACCTATTCAACAGCATGATAGGAAATATTGAGAAGCTAGAAGCAGGCACCTGAGCTATACAGTAAATGAAGGTCACACGGAGACTATAATCATCTTTGTTGAATGATCTGGCTCATGTGGGGGCGGCAATTCAGCAATATGACTAGGACGTAAACCCCAAAGTGCCTTTTAAAGGTGATAAATCCCACACTTACCGTTAACTAGTGAAGGGAGGCTTAAACCGGGGTTATAGGATTAAGTTTTTGTTTAATACAGAGCAGCTGCATTTGGTTTGAACGCACCTCTCTAATCAAAAGGAGGGAAAAAAAGAGTCTTATGTAACTGATGTATGTTTTACAATTCAGTTAACCAGGGAAAAAGAGGCAGGGCTGGAGAGGATTTATCGCCTTTCTTCATCAAACCTTGACCTCCATTCATCAGTCATCAAACTTGTATGCACTTGTCCTGCAGTTGCCCACTCACATGTTAGGCGACACTCTATATTATTCCAACAACCAAGTCTTTTTTGAAAGCCATGTTGTTCCTCTTTTTGTTTACTTAAAGTCAAACTCCATTCAATTCTGTTGGCTGTAAAAGCCCTTTCATTGCACAACATTACACAATTAGTCCAAATGCAAACGAGATGGTGACACGCAAAGTCATTCTAGTACTTATGTAAGAAAGTAAACAACATGGTCTTCTGCATTGAAGGAACCATCTTCTCATTAACATATTGAGGAGAGGAAAAGATAAATCATGCTAGAAAGTTAACAAGCTCTGGAAAAACTCTGCTATAATCAAAGTAAACCGTGATATCTTGAGACATTTCTATGCATGCTTTTGTGCCACTCTGCCTTTTATAGGAGTGATTCTGGCAGATTACGGTTCTAGTTGGAAGGAGCAACGTCGCTTTGCTCTGATGAACTTGAGGAACTTTGGAATGGGGAAGGACAGCATGGAGGAGAGGATTCATGGAGAGATACAATATACTGTGGACACGCTGGAGAAGAGCATTGGTATGTCATCTGTCCTCCCATGGATGGCAGCGTTCACTTTAATCAGGGACACTGACATCAAATTAATATTTTATTAATATTTGATAATGTTACAATGTGGAGCTCGATGAAATTGCACTTTCTTGTTTCTTGAAATGCACTTTCTTGTTTCTTGAAATGCACTTATTGTAAGATTCTTTGGATAAAAGCATCAGCTAAATGACATGTGATGTAATTTTGCCTAATGTGAAAGATTGATTAGTTTTGCTTGTAATTGGTAAGTTAATTTTGTTGCACAATACTGTGTTGTACTTAAGTGGACATTTTGTCTTCTCCAGGCAAATCCTTCAGTCCTCAAAACATGTTTCACAATGCGGCCTCCAACATCATCTGCCAGGTTCTATTTGGAAAACGCTTTGAGTATCAGGATGAGACCATGAAAACACTTGTTCAATGCTTCACCGAGAATGCCAAGATAGCCAATGGGCCATGGGCTATGGTGAGTCACAGGCATGCTTCTGTCTTCAAATGTCGCTTAGAAATATCAGATACATCTGACTTTAGTTAAGCTTGCGGCTCAGTGGGGCCGTACTTCATTGATCGGTGGTGATTAGAGCCAACTTTAGCAGGCTAAGATGGTTGTTAGCAGGTATAATGTTTACCACATACTCAGCCTTTTTGTTTTGTTTGTCCGTTGGCCCAAATCAAAAAGCTACAATTGGAGCTAATGGTAGTGTTGCTTGCAAAGCTGACAATTGTCTAACCGCGAGAGTTAAGCCTAGTTTATGCATGCGCGTTTTCAAGAGCCCCTTGCTTGCCTTTTTTACCCCTCCTTGCGTGAGTCGACACATTTTTCTAGACTGGCATCAAAAGCTACGCAAGCCTCCTGCAGCCCGCAAGGCTGTGATTAGTCTGCTAACTACATCGTTTCCGGAGTCTCAGTTTCATAGCCTAATACTGCCATTATTAAAACGAAGATTTTTCACGAGAGAATGAATCAGATTGAAGAGCTTTTGTCGGAAATATCCGCAAGAAAAAAAAAAGAAATCCGCAAATATGACCACTTCTACAACCCGTCATTGGCGGATTATGGCGGACCCGTCGCTGGCCTCCAATTCATGGATGGAGATCTCCGCAAACGTTGGTTTGCCAGTCGAGGGGTGCACAAAGACGTAACTTCAGTCCAGAATTTCCCAAAGCCACACTAAAGTAACTGACGGTCCGAATAAACTGTGCACTTGCATCGTAAGCATGGATTGATGTGTATCCTTGCAAACCTACTCGCCTTGACTCACAGAAGAGTTGTTTTCCAGCAAAGCACAGAATCTTAGCCCATATGTGATAATAAAATAATTTGTTCAGACTGATTCATGCCAAGATGCAGAATATACGTTTTTGATATTGAATAATCTAAAATTGCGTGTTCTTTTCATTTACACAGCTTTATGACTCCTTTCCTTTGATCAGAAGCCTGCCACTGCCCTTCAGACAGGCCTTTAAGAACGTTGAGGTAGGTTAATCTCTCTCTCTCTCTCTCTCTCTCTCTCTGCATGCATTTTGTCAATTGAAAGTAGATTATAAATTATGAATGTTGACGTGAATGTTTTTCAGACATGTCAGAAGATTGCAAAAACTTTGATGAATGAGCACAAGCAGACCAGAGTGCCTGGAGAGCCGCGCGACTTTGTTGACTGCTACTTGGATCGGCTGGATAAGGTGAATCATTGAACACAGAAAAGATGGGTACATTTTTGAATAATGCAAACTTGTTGTTTTTTGGCAAAAGTTTAGGATTGGGAGGGGGGGGGAGGTGCAGGGGGTTGGGTGAACTGGCCAGCCAGCGTTTCTGAGATAGGACTGAGACAAGGAGAAAAGGCGATGTCATGATTTTGCAGCAAAACATTTTAGATGTGACGTGTCGAGTCTTGGTCAATCAGCATTAAAATGTCTTCAGCGTCTTCATTTCTATCCAATTTTTTGACGCAACCCCTTATGACGGTATGATTATGAACAATTTAATATTGCCCTTAAAGTTTGAAGTTTCACATTTGCATTGTCATTCTCCTCTCTCTAGCCGGGTGATGATCGGTCGTCCTTTTCAGAAGCGCAGTTGACTATGTACATTCTGGATCTTCACTTTGCTGGGACTGACACTACTTCCAACACTCTCCTTACTGGTTTCCTCTACTTAATGAACTACCCACAAGTACAAGGTATGCAAATATTCTACAAAGGAATGCTCATAATTGTTTGTATCGTAGATTCTTTTATACAGAAATACTTTTTGTAAAAGTCCTGAATTGAAAAGGTATTTTTTTTGGAACACGTATCAATTGTCTCATTAAATTAATGTCTCTTTCTTAAAAAGGGACAGCACAGCCTTGGGGAACTGTTTACCGGTTAAGTGTCTTAACCAAGCACACTGTGGCATGCTGGTTGATGATGCCAGGGAGGGAACTATTGTGCTTCCGAATTGATGTAAATCGACCCTACCTCTTAGCCCTAACCTATCAGTGACAAGATGCAACTTGTAGCTACAAATATGCAGAAAGCTCTCACTCCAGTTCTGCATGATTAGTGTAGTGTTTGTAATAGCAATAGATCAAGTATGTCCCTGCAGTAAAGGCTTTCAGTTTTTCCCCCTCAACAAATTTCACCTTTGAGAAAATAAGATCCACCCTCACGAGTGTACCACGGGTCATTGTTAGAGGCCTTTGGCAAATTCCAGAAAGACAGCCTCTTCAACAGAAGGCAGTTTGAAGTAGGAAAAATATTGCAAATTACGGCCATACCTCTCTGGCTCCGCCTGATCTCGTCTGATCTCAGAAGCTAAGCAGAGTAGGGCCTGGTTAGTACTTGGATGGAAGACCGCCTGGGAATCCCAGGTGCCGTAAGCTTTTTCATTTCTCTCTCTGGAAGAAATTGAGAAGGCATTAGAAAGTGAATCCTTTTTCATTATCAAAACTCCAAAACCTTTGACACATTTTAAAAGATTAGGAAGAGGACATACAGTTGCTTACGGCCATACCTCTCTGGCTCCGCCTGATCTCGTCTGATCTCAGAAGCTAAGCAGAGTAGGGCCTGGTTAGTACTTGGATGGAAGACCGCCTGGGAATCCCAGGTGCCGTAAGCTTTTTCATTTCTCTCTCTGGAAGAAATCGAGCAGGCATTAGAAAGTGACTCCTTTTTCATTATCAAAACTCCAAAACCTTTGACACATTTTAAAAGATTAGGTAGAGGACATACAGTTGCTTACGGCCATACCTCTCTCCCATACCTCTCGATTTTTCTTTATCCAGGCCGTAATCCATGAAATCCAGAGAGTAGCCAACACTGTTCCACTCAGCGTCTTCCACTGTACAACTAAAGACACAGAGCTCAATGGATATTCCATCCCCAAGGTAAGAAGCAACTGGTCCTGTCTTTTCTGTCACTATTGTGTAAAACAATGTAGGCGTCTCTGCTGGGAATGTACATCTCTGCAAATTATTCATTCCTCTTCTGATTCATGTCTTGTCCACAGGGTACTCTGATCATCCCTAATCTCACCTCAGTGCTGAATGAGGAGGGCCAATGGAAATTCCCAAATGAATTCAACCCTGAAAACTTCCTCAATGACCAGGGAGAGTTTGTGAAACCAGAGGCCTTCATGCCTTTCTCTGCAGGTATGTATGTTTCAATTCTCGTCAAATCAATTATCTTCATGTAGACCAAAATCACAAGTAACGAAATGGCCTGAGGTGGCTTCAGAATCTGTATAATATGCAACACCGGTTGTCATGTAGAACGTGTCATTGCAGTCTTGGCCTAGGCAAGCCTGAACCAGCCCCAATTATAAGCTTTATTGAAGGTCTTTAACCTACTCTAAAAAGTGGGGAAAGTTTTAGTGAAGTGAAAGCTTTATCCACTCTGTTCTGGGAGCCCAGTGTTTTAGTGGGGCGTTGAGGGTATAGTAGTGGGGGTAGGAGAGCATAAGAAACAAACAACACTGTGAGGGTAAATGCATGACTATGAGCTCTTTTTTATATTGTATTCTGTATGTCTCAGGCCCTCGGATGTGTCTCGGAGAGGGTCTGGCCCGTATGGAACTCTTCCTGTTTACGGTGACGCTGCTGAGGAAGTTTAAGTTCATCTGGCCTGAGGATGCAGGAGAGCCAGACTTCACTCCAGTCTATGGGGTCACTCTGACTCCCAAACCTTATCGCATGAAGGTCCAACTCCGGGTATCGCAGAAAATCCCAAATTTATAGATTGTTTTAACCAACCAGCAAACAACACGATCTGATCTGCACTTACTTGTCACCTACATACACCAGCTTTAACAATTAATAAAACATATACTTGTTTCAAAAGCATCGCTGGTGAATGCTACATTTTACTCTTACGCGTATATAAATATGTATAACACTAGCTTTATAGTGGTGCTTTTAGTTTAAGAATAAATACGAAAGTGGGATATTAATGAATCATTTGGTCTAGCGTGTCTGTTTTTTGTTATACTACACACCATAATTTTGCTGTGGAACAGGTGAAAACTACTACGTGGCATGTGTAGCAATGGTCTTTTAAAATTAGTATTTTGAGTTTAAATTGCTCATGACTTTAGTCAATTCACCAATAATGTACATGGTCGAATGGTTTATATTAGCAATAGAAAATATGTTATTGTTTGATCAAAAAGTGGGTGCACCAATCTCAGAGGGGTTGAACGGCACAGAGAAATAACTACTAACAAATGACTTACAAACATGTTCAGTTTAAGAATCTGTATTATGGTACCACCTTGTGGTAGCAATGGAAGATGTCATCAAGTATCAGCAGAACGCACCTCCGATGACAAGCACTGCATATGATGTGTTATTCATGACAGCTGGAAGAAACTAACATGCACATTAAAATATTTCCCAGAATCTCTTCTGTTAGCGCGGACACATCTGTGTTGTCAGCAGGAATAAGATGTTGTTCTGGACAGGGTCAGACACCAAATGCCCTATGTGCAGGTATGTTGTGGATTATTTCACTGAGATGTTCAGAGGTAACGTTTGGTGACAGTAGGTGTCTTTCATGAGATCCAGGGAATGTCTGACACTCTTCACCCTCAGTGTTTTCCACTAAATTGATAATGGTCACGTTAAGGAATGAGTTCTTTACAGAGAGTGAGGTGGCTCTTAAAAGAGCCGTTGTTGCGAGTAGAATCAGGGGGTTTAAGCTCGTTCTCCGCGGATGCGACGGGCCAGCTGGATGTCTTTGGGCATGATGGTGACCCTCTTGGCGTGGATGGCGCACAGGTTGGTGTCCTCGAACAGGCCCACCAGGTAAGCCTCGCTGGACTCCTGCAGAGCCATAACAGCGGAGCTCTGGAAGCGCAGGTCGGTCTTGAAGTCCTGAGCGATCTCTCTCACCAGACGCTGGAAGGGCAGCTTGCGGATCAGCAGCTCGGTGGACTTCTGGTAGCGACGGATCTCCCTCAGGGCCACGGTACCGGGCCTGTAACGGTGAGGCTTCTTCACTCCGCCGGTGGCCGGGGCGCTCTTACGGGCGGCCTTGGTGGCGAGCTGCTTCCTGGGGGCTTTGCCTCCGGTGGACTTACGGGCAGTCTGCTTGGTTCGTGCCATGATCGACTAGTGTCGCTCTGGTTAAGAGAAGTGAACTCTGAGAGGAGACTCGCGGCTCTTAAAGTGTGGACCGGCTGAGGAGCGGTGACGCTGATTCAGACCTCCGGCCCCTGATTGGTGGAGGACTCCTCCTGGAGCTCAGCCGCGACTCTACGAGCGAGTCTCCGCTGCTCATTGGCGGAAAATGATTTAAAAATGTCCGCCAAAAACTGTGAGCTCGCGCCCTCTGTCTTCCTGTCTGGAGCCTCTTCTCTGGTTGGTGCGCGCGTCCCACCCGCTCCGCGGACATATAAAGGAGGGTTTGACGCGTTCACAGACACTTCTTTCCCTGAAACAGTCTAACAATGAGCGGCAGAGGCAAAACCGGTGGAAAGGCTCGAGCGAAGGCAAAGACCCGCTCCTCTCGTGCTGGACTCCAGTTCCCAGTCGGTCGCGTCCACAGACATCTGCGCAAAGGGAACTATGCGCAGCGTGTCGGCGCAGGAGCCCCCGTCTACCTGGCGGCCGTGCTGGAGTACTTGACCGCTGAGATCCTGGAGCTGGCTGGAAACGCCGCCCGCGACAACAAGAAGACCCGCATCATCCCCCGTCACCTGCAGCTGGCTGTCCGCAACGACGAGGAGCTCAACAAGCTGCTGGGCGGAGTGACCATCGCTCAGGGCGGCGTGCTGCCCAACATCCAGGCGGTGCTGCTGCCCAAGAAGACCGAGAAGCCCGCCAAGAAGTAAAGCCGGAGACCTCCATCTACCACAAAGGCTCTTTTAAGAGCCACCCACTCACATGAAAAGAGATGTGATCCTCCTGTGACTATTATGTGGTCCTACTTATTAAGATAATCCCAATAAAGTCACACAACTTAATAAATACCTCAAAACCTTTTAATGTATCGCGTAGAAAGGACACTACTGCAGCTGAAGCATAAAACCGTTTAGACATTGTTTGACACTTGATCTAGATGGATTCACTTTCAGAGAAAGGGAACAGGAAGACAAACAGGCAAGATTACAGAATGAAAAATAAGGATTTGACATTTTAAAGGAGCCACTCTTATTCAATACAAATATTAAATATTCCTTTAGAATTTAAATTGATTGTAGCATGAGATGGGTAATATAAAGGTTTCAATAACTGGATGCTCTTTCGCAGGCTGTGACAATCAAAAACATGTTTTCTACTTTACGCAACATTTGGATGCTTTTGTATAATAAAGATGTATTATACAAGATTTCTTTGTAGAATAGTCTTGCAGGAAAAAAGCTCTTTAAGGAAGGATTGAGCCTTTAATAGAGGTGTTTGTTCTTCAGACTGATATCAGCTCACTTCTTCTTGGCTTCTGCTCCACATAATTGAGGGAATGTTTTGCCATTTGTGCCTTATCTGCTCCATGTTGAAATAGCTTCACACCTTGTCAACAAACTATTTCCTGATGGGTTTATTTTTTAAATGTATTATAACAGTATTTACTTGGAATTGTCCTAATTCTTACAATCTTATACATGTTTAATTGAAATGTACATTTTCTCCATTTAAAACAAATGTTCAGTGATGATGGATGGGCCAAATTCTGGAGTCTGAGCAACATTTGGATATCAAAGAACGGCAGGTGTTGTCCTTGAATAAGTAAAACCATATTTTCTTATAAAATGGTCTTTAGAAGCTCATGTTGGCTCGAAAATAGTGGATTTCCTAAATTTTCCCATCAGCAGTTGTATAGTTCAATTAAATACAGTAAATTAAAATAATTTTAAGAAGTCAAAACACTAAAGTCTGAAAAAAATAAATAAAGGCAAAGCTCTTTGAGGAGGGATTGGGTGGCTCTTAAAAGAGCCTTTTATAGAAGTGTTTGTCACATCAGTTTACTTCTTCTTGGGTGCTGCTTTCTTGGCTTTGGGCTTAGCGACCTTCTTCACTGGAGATTTCTTGGCTGCAGGGGCCTTTTTCACCACCTTCTTAGGGCTCTTGGCCACCTTTTTGGGGCTCTTTGCTACCTTCTTGGGGCTCTTGGCCACCTTCTTGGCCGCTGCGGGTTTCTTGGCCTTCTTCGGTGACTTCTTAGCGGCTACAACTTTCTTCACTGCCGCTGCTTTGGGCTTTTTGGCCGCTGCGGGTTTCTTGGCCGCGGGCTTCTTGGCTTTAGGAGCGGCTTTCTTTGCCGGTTTTTCGGCGGTGGTCTTGCTCATCTTGAAGGAGCCGGAAGCCCCGATCCCCTTGACCTGGACCAGAGTCCCCTTGGCCACCAGGCTCTTGATGGCGGTCTTGACGCGGGCCTTGTTCTTGTCCACATCGTATCCTCCGGCGGTCAGAGCCTTCTTGACGGCGGCAGCAGACACGCCGCTCCGCTCCTTGGAAGCGGCCACAGTTTTCACGATGAGGTCAGAGACGCTGGGGCCGACCTTCTTCGGCTTGGACGCCTTCTTCTTGGCTGCTTTGGGCGCGGCTGGAGCTGGAGCTACTTCTGCCATGTTGTCCCGTTGTTGTGCGTTTGTGTCGTCGAGGACTCGAGAGAGTGAGACTGATGAAGAGCTCAAAGCAGCGGACTGAACTTAAACGCACCATGAGAACCGTAGAGACTCAACCCAGCCCGGAGCTCCTCGTGCAGCCTGAAAGTCGAGTCACTTGTGTTTTCTCTCCACTGATTAAAGACTAAAAACTAAATGTGCATCAGGTGCTGGAGGCTGAAGGTGGAGGAGCCGATAGCGGACTAGTTTCTCTTCATGTTCAGGTCACGTAGAGCTCTGATGATCGATGCGTTTTGTTTGAGGAGCCTCCAAACCTCACCTACTCAGCGCCGTGGACAGCAGTGATCAGCGGCTTTTCCCACTCATTTCTCTCTTCAAAGTATTTAAATAACATCATATCGCCATCAAAAGTCGTTTTCCATCTGATCCACATGCTTATTCAGGGTCTCAATGTGAAAACAACCATCGGATGTTGATCAGTTTGTAATAAACTGAAGTTATTCCGGGAGCAGCAAACACACTGATGACGGTGAAGGCTTATAGCTGCTCGGCGGACATGTCCTCTGCTGAAAACACTTATTAGTTCAACTTGTAATCATCAAACATGTTTCCTCTTTTGGAAAGCATAAATGTTGCAATGTAACTTATTTTACCAGTAATAGTTTTCAGCTGAATAAGGAAGTCTGCACTGAAATTTGGATTTTGATAAAAATTTCCACGTAATCCTTATTATTGTTATGAATACTTATTCCGATCATCATTATTTTCAAGCATTCAACATAAATTATGTAAAAGATTCAGCCCAAGCCTTCATAGCTTATTTTACTCTTCTAACTTAGTTGCACATTTGCCAGCATCGTGTTGCTGGATATTACAGTCTGCTCAGTGGTAGCTCTTCTTGCACAGTTCAAACTTACAATACAGGATTGTAAATGTCATTTTTGGTTAAAACACCAAATGAAACCTAGCTTTTTATTGCAAAGTAGTTGTATACATGAAAACCCAGATGAGGGCCTCGGGGCATAGACCAGACCTAGACGTACATGTTATAACACGACAGCACGGCCAAAAAGTCCAAGTAGTAGTCTATCATTTTCCTATATATTATAGATTTAAAAAAATATATTGTTTAAAGATCCCTTTTGAAGATGATTACTGGTATAATCATGGACATGTAATTAGATTATATAACTTTTTGATCAATTTTCACTTTTTGTATAAACAGGTCCATGTGATATAGATGTAGATTGAGTACATCCTCTTGATATTGGCATGCAGAGGGGCGGATTGGCCGTCGGGAATACCCCTGGTGGGCCTATGGGTTTGGGCTTGCCCAATACCGGCCCACCTGTCACCAACGGGCATCTGACGTCGCCCAACCCAACTATATTCTGCTTACAGCAGGAGATCGCAGGGGAGACTTGCAGGTGGTGTTGGATTGAATTCTGGTATCATACGTATCAGGTATCTTGATTTTTATGGCAGGTTATTTTTTGCCCATGGTGATTGAGTTTGACACCGCTCCCCGCTCTAGCCTACTCAACACTCACTCGCTCGCAGATGAAGCATGGTCTTTCTCTGCGGGCATTCCTTAAGGTTTAAAGCTCTGTAGTTATACGTATAACCATCTGATCCTAGCCCAGAGTTACGCATAATCATCTAGCAAAACTATACCTAACTTTGACTGTTACAATAAAACCATCCATCTTCACACCGCTTATCCTGCACACAGGGTCAAACACAAACATGTGTACCCACATCTATTTGTATTAGCACGTAATCTTATGAGCATTCCTGCCTCATCCGTGCCATGTGAGCGCTTCCCACATTCATCACTTCCCACATTCAAACAATTCACATGCAGTAGGAAGCACTTGCTGGTATTTTTAATTATATTACCTCCATATAACTGGGCCAAAATATACTGGTAGGCTATTCGATATATATGCACTATAGGTTTTCAACAGCAGAGATCGAGTTTGCGATGCATTGAATGAATGAATCTTTTTCCGATACAATTGGCTGGAAAGCTTCAGTGGTTCAGAAAGCTTCACTTTGACATCACTACTGGTCAATACGTGCGATTAATTGAATGGGCCAGTACTTTTTTCCCCCTAATCTGCATTCTGGCTTGTACTCATTTTATATATATATATATATATATATATATATATTTATATATTTATATATATATATATAGGCTTCAATATAGAATTGCCCCTTCACTGGGATGGGGCTCAATAAGTTATTCATACATTTGGTAATGCAGATTCTGAAATATTTCTGAAAAATCAATCAGTATTACATTAATCAAATCAGTATTACGTACAAAATGTTTCAGACATTTTGAAAACTTCACTACCTCACGATCTTACTGGTAGAGGAGGGAACTTATGCAACAATATTGGCATATTTCTGAGAAACTCCTTATAAGGACATCAGCTATTCAGAGAGAGTGCGTGGCCCTTAAAAGGACCGTTTGGTTGTTTGTAATAGAAGTCGGGGTTTATCCTCCGAAACCGTACAGAGTGCGTCCCTGTC